GTGCCTGGCCTGCAGTAAAGTAATAAGAAAAATATCTGAATGCTTCCTAAAACCTGCCTACGAGAAATTTATCTATCTATGCCTGACCTGCACTAACTACTCTGCCTCAACTCTGATATTTAAAGCCTCTGAGGGTCTGCTTCTGTTGGTTCATGGTCTTGTGGTGCCTTATTTTCTTGTGTGCCTGGTTACTTTTGACTGACTTCTGCTTGTTGTCCTTGAAAACTTATTGATAAGAATTCCTTAAGGTCTAAGTTAAAGATATTTTCCTCCACAGAAAATTTATATTTACTTCTTCTAGGTATTTGAGAACACTACAATACATAATTAATCCAGTTAGAGGTTTGCTGGACGACCCAACATGTCTCAGGTTGCAAATTCATATGAGAGCTTAGACCAAGACTTCTTGTGGACAGGTTTTCTTTCTTTTAATCTCATGTTCCACAAAACACCAATACATACAGCCTTCCCTGAATTCCACTAGACATGTATTTGGTTCACCCTCCTATTAGTTTCCCATCCCCTGGTGGACTCATATCATCTGAAATAATTTTCTTTCTACCCTCCTGAAGTCTTGGCTGGGACAGACTCCTGTAGTAAAAGACAGATTTACAAGAGAAAAATAGAAGCTTATGAATATGAATACCTCATGTATACATGCGAGAGACAATGAAAAATGTGTAAATCTCAAAGAGGTGGCTTAGATTTCAGGCTTAAATACCATCAACTGCAGATACACAAAAAAGAAAGGTATGATGGGGTTTGGGGAGGTGACCAGGAAAAGCATGGTATATTGAGAATAAGGTTTGCTATGTCGATTTAAGGTGGTGCCTTCTCAAGTTGATAAGATTCTCTCGTGATTTAGTCATCCTTCTCTTCCTGGTTCAGAGGAGACATCCTTTCAAATGGAGATTTCCTTTATAGATTCAAATTTCCCTTAAATTACAAAAGGGTACCTTTTCTGTTTTCAGCACTTCTCCTGTGTTTCTCAAGATAATCAGCTCAAAACAATCTTTATGCCAGAGACATATTTTGAGGTGTCATACTCTGGTCTCCTATATTCATATTTTGGGGTGGCCTATTCCGATCTTCTACAAGCTCTAGAAATACACTGGCTTTTCAATTTTCCTTTGATTTTGGTCTGTTTCTATCATATCACCTCTTTGATGCTTTCAGGGGATCCTTTTGATGTTTTTGACTATCCCATACAATTTACACTCCAGTCAGCATTCAGCAGGAGAGTTGGCACAAGTAACTTTGCCCACATTATCAGAAATATCAGCAATCATCTTTTTAAAAAAACCTTCCCTGTACTTCACATCCTTATCACTCACTCTCTTTTCTCTCTCATAGCCAAAATTCTTAAAAGAACTGTCTGCGGCTGGGCACGATGGCTCACGCCTGTCATCCCAGTACTCTGAGAGGCGAAGGCGAGAGGACAGCCTGAGCCCAGGGGTTTCGCGACCAGCCTGGGCAATTTGGCAAGCCCTCATCTCCACAATAAATCAAAAATCTAGCCGGGCGTGGAGGCGCATGCCTGTAGTTCCAGCTACTTGGAAGGTTGAGGCGGAAGATCGCCTGAGCCCAGCAGGTCGAGGCTGCGGTGGCTGTGAGCATGCTCCTGGACTCCAACCTGGGCGAATTTGTCGCCCCCGCCTCTCCTGGCCGTTCGGCTCTGCTAGAGCAAGGCCCTTGGAGAAGCCCAGCGCGGGGGCTGGCTGGGAACCAAACGGTGCGCGATCCGCACACACGGGCTCCCGCGCCGCTGCCTGCGCGCTCAACTCCTCTCCAGCCAGCCCAGTGTCTGAAAGGGCAGCCCTGGCCCGGCAAGGAGGAGGAATCTAGGTTCAGAACACCCGAGACAAGCGCGCCGCACCAACAAAAGACAAACCTAGAGACCTAAGCAAGAAACAGGCCAGCGGTTTCAACTTGGGGGACGGGTGGGAAAAGCTGTTTCTGGAACATGATAACTCTGCTTTAAAGGCTTCGGCTCAGGGATCCGCAGGCGGGGCAGCCGAGCTCAGGAGCCGACGGAGGCCGGCGCTGTGGGCGGCCAGCACTGGGGGTGGTGGACGCTCTGACCACACCGGCGACCCCAAGCGTGTCTGTTTCCGCTGCCACTAAGGCCGGGGGTGAGGGGAGGGAAGTGGGGGACATCAGACCCAGTCACGCCGGGATGTTTGGGGCGGCGGCTCAACGCCCGCCCGGGCTCAGGCGCGAACGCGACGCTCCCCAACGCTAACGCTTCCTGCCGCGACCAGCCCGTGTCCTGGACGTGGACAAAACAGCGTTCTCTGCGCGTTCGTCGGAGCTCATCTCAAAACTGGACAGGGACGCACGCAGTTAGCACTTTCGAGAAGCAGTGTCAGAGCCCGCCTGCCTCCCGCGCCCCGGCCTCGCCTGGCTGGAGGCCCAGACAGTCTCCCGCCTTCGCCTGCGCTACGCCCGCCCACTCTCACGCCCGCGTCGCCCTCCGCAGGCGCTGTCACCTGCATGACGTCCCGCCGGCCCTCACACCTGCGCCTTCCGCGGCGAGGCTCCCTCCTGACTGGAAGCTGCCAACTGCCTGCCTGGCGTGCTTCAACGTCCGCCAGAAGCGGGGGGGCGAGCAGAGGCTTCCTACGCATGCGCGCCGTGCGCGGCTCCGTTGCCGGGCAACCAGTGGCGTAGCCTGGGGGACGCTTGTGGGTACTGACGCGCCAGGTCCCGTGGCTTCTCTCGCAGCCTTTCGCAACTGGCGAGTGTGGCGCGTTCCTCTCACCTTTCTCTTTTGCGTTATAAGCTGTTTCCGGGCCTCTGTCACCCTTCAACGTCTGAGTCCTGTCTTCATGGAGAAATAAACTCCTGGAGAGGAGACCCCTTCAGAGGAGGAGTTCTTAACCTGGACCCATAACCTGTGTTGGGATAGATCTGAGGGGATACTTAGCCCCAGCCCCCAAATGGACACATAATTTTGCTGTGGGTGTACATTTTTGTTTTTGGAGTTAAGGACTAGAGCTTTCATCAGATTATCTAACGGGACCATAGCTCCTCACCCGCATCTTAAAAACTCACTACCTCAGGAGACAGGAGCTCTGACTTTAGGTGAGAAATCCAGAAAGTGTTTAAGTTAAGGAAAGTTTATTTATTGGAAGCTGCCAGGAACTTGGGGAAAACACTTGGTATTATACACATGATTATACACATAGTTCTTCCAGAGATATACTCACAGGATTTGGAAAAGGAAATAAAAGTTTTTTCTTTTTCTTTTTTTTTTGAGTTGGAGTCTCACTCTGTCGCTCAGGTTGGAATGCAATGGCACACTCACAGTCACCGCATCCTCGACCCGTCGGGGTCAGGTGATCCTTCCACCTCATAAAAGTTTTTAATTACGTAATTTTAAACGGGTTCAGCATTGGACCGCTCCATCTGTAGTGCACAGCTGATAACACAAATCCTATGTTCCTAGTAGCCTATATGTAGTATTTGTGTATGAGAAAATAATTTGTTAAATTTAGATACTTAAAAACATACCACAATTTTTGTAATCGTGTCTTGGTATTTCTTCTCCTCCTCCTTTTTCTTCTCCTTCTTCAACCCAGAAACCCTAAAAATATAAGTTATGCACGTTTCTCTGGATTTCAGAGAGGCCCTGGGAATTGCTGCTTACACATTCATCACCCTTATTTTTTTACTGTGCACAGAACTAGCTAATACTGCCCCATGCATCTGTGGCTTTAGAGCAGGAGGCCCTTGCTGTGCTTGAGTCCCCATCTTGTTATAGCAATTCATTTTTCTAAAAAGAATGTAATTTTTTTCTCTTCTGCTGCTTCATTCCTTCTAGCTCTTCACTCAGGTTAAGAAGTGACATTCAGGGACTTGTTAGCAAAAGTTGTGATTTAAGCTATAAGCATTGGTCAACATTAGGAAGTCTTGTTAGATGCTCTAAAAAATATGTGTATAGACCTAATTCTACCTCCTCAAAGAGCCACTCCTCTCTGATCAGCCAGCAACCTCCTTCGGTGGGAATTCAAGGAGGTCAAAAGGGATAATTTGAGGGGAACTGTAGGATTTAAAATCAACCTCCATCTGAGAATACTTCTGTATCCACTACACATTGATATTATGTAAAAAGTTCTCCATGTGTGTTCATGATCCTCTACTATTAAGATTATTTTCTTTCTGGTGATGGAAAAGACTGATTGCTTCTCAGATGTTGCAGGGTGAAACAACTTATTTTGTAATAAACAGAATACTATGAATTGGTAGAAAGCATTAGCCTCCTGATACATTTGTAACAATCAGAAATCCACTTTACAGTATATAAACCATAACTTGTCTATTGAACTATTGGATGGGTCATGGTCCAATCTCCCAACTAGTATAGTCTCAGTATTCACAGTCTAAGATTGAGAGCTACTGGGCATTTTGGTAATTTATAAGAGCTAGTGATTTTGTCATTGACAAAATCCAAACAGGAAAATAAAATAACCAATTAAAACTCAACTCTGGCCGGGCTCGGTGGCTCAGCCTGTAATTCCGCGCCTTTGGGAGGCTGAGGTGAGTGAATTGCCAGAGCCCGCGGGTTCGAGACCCGCCTGGGCAAATTGGTGAGACCTCATCTCTACAATAAATCAAAAAAACTAGCCGGGCGTGGTAGCGCGTACTTGTAGTTCCGGCTACTCGGAAGGCAGAGGCGGAAGGATCGCTGGATCCCAGCAGGTCGAGGCTGCGGTGGCCGGGAGCGGCCACTGCACTCCAGTCTGGGCGACAGAGTGAGACTCCAACTCAAAAAACAAACAAACAAAAACAAACAAACAAATAAAAAAAACTCAACCCTCTACGAGTACCTTTAGTGACACCATCAGAAAAATGTGTGCCAGTACTGTCAAAAGCTGCGAGGACCTAAGGAACATCACTATTTACAGGTTTAACACAGACTATTTATCATTACACCACCAGCAAAAATATTTTAAGATGCTTTTGTATTTTCAACAAATTAAAAATTTACAATATGAACCAACTTTTTCTGAGAGTGTTTATTACACACGGACTTTCAACAGAGTAAACTTATCAAGGATTGTTTTTGAGAGGAAAACAAAATGTCAGTACATTTTGTATTTCACAGCATTGCTTCTGTGAAAAATTAGTTGGAATCCTGTAAAAAATAAGAAAAATTGAGTTAGAGTTCAGCGTAAATGACTATGTGAATGTGTGTATGTAATGTTTGTATACAGACATTTTAATAAATATTTTGCCATAGAATATTAACATTAGCATCTGAGACATTTCCAAGCTGCCCTTCAATCATTATATTTTAAACTATATTTTGTTAAAAACATTTATTTTGTATGTCTGTGTCTTCCCAAAGTTTATACTACTTTACTATAGAAAAGTGGTTTTCTAAAGCTTGCTAATATCAATAATATTTACAAATAAGACATTTCAAGAGTTGCATTTTACTCCTTGTGTATCCATTTCCTCATATATTTGCAACTAGATCATTTTATGTTTAACAACTTTCTAAATATATATCATCAGGATAGAAAAAGACCTTTAAAAATAGGATAATAAAAAAACGATTATTGAATTATTTTTCTATTGGCAAAATTAAATGAAATCCTGAGTAAATTAGTCTATGTATAACCTAATCTTGGAAATAATTCAAATAAAGCAATTTCTCAATTTCAGAAGAATTTTAAAATAAATTGATCAAATCATAGGCTAAATTCCATTTCACATCATGAATACACTAACATTTACTTTGATGCTATACTCACAGGTATTTTTTCCATTAGTATTAAACTATTCTTAAATTTTGTAAATGTTAAAGTACATTTGTAATATTATAAAAGAATTTCTTCTCCATCAACTCTTTCTTTTTTATTTTTAGAAAGCTGAATTTATTGAGAGGACAGAAAAGCTCCCATAGTGAGAGGGACCCGAGGGGGTTGCCCAACTATTTTTTTTTTTTTTTTGAGTTGGAGTCTCACTCTGTCACCCAGACTGGAGTGTAGTGGCACGCTTCAACTCTCTATTCTTAAAATAAAAAAATAAGACTATGTTTTCTCATTTTCCTCCTGTGAGCATACTTTATCAGGCCTCCTGAAATAAGAGTTCATACCAAACACAGTTTGCAAATTCAAGTTTCTAATTATGTCCCATGAGCACACTAAATTTTTCCTTCACTTTTCCAATATTTGAATCTTTCATTTCTTTCTTGTTTAATTGAGCTAGCTAATGCATTAAGAACTACACTAAATAAAAAATGAGAGTATCCTTATTTTGTTCCTGACATTAAAGGAAATGCTCAAAAGTGTTTAATTATTATCAAGTCTGCTACTGCACTTTGTTTGAGACAATTATTTTTTAAGTGTCAAGAAGGTATTAATTTCTTTCTGTAGGATCTTCATTTAATAGATCAGAAATTGATGTGGAAATTTACCAAAAGCATTTCTTGAGACGGTCATATAATTTTTTTTCTAATGGTGCAATATTTTAATACAGTTCCTAATGTTGAACCATCCTTGAGTTGCTGGAACAAATCTCAGAGGGTTATATAATTCTTCAAATATGCTGGTAAATACTATTTAATAATAATTCTTTTAAATTTTTACATTCTATTTGCAAATAGGATTGACATAGTTTTCTTTTTTATGCTATTTTTGTAAGGTTTTGGTATTAGTATTATGCTGGCTTCATAAACATTTTTGGAGATTCTTCTTTGAGTTGAAAAAAAATCCAAAATTATTGGCTTAGTACTTATTGAGAGGATAGTTTCTAGGTTACATTTTCAATTATTTTCCATAGCTATTAATCTATTTAGCTTTTTTCTTTCTTTTGAAGTCAATTTTGGTAGCACCTACTTTACCAATCTTCCACTTTATCCAGGTTTCTAAACTGATATGCACAGTGATGTGCAAAGTACTCTTTTATTATATTTACTTTTTCTTTATCTCTTGTAATTACTATATTTGTATTTTTCTATATTCACGGTTTTACCCTCTATTTCTTGTTTACACTAAGCTAATTAGGCTGGTTTATTTTTTGCAAAAAATATGATTTTTGCTTTGCTTACCAATTCTTCTACTTTATTATTTTTTAATTTATTAATTTTTTTAACTCTTATAATTTTCTTCCTTGTGCTTTTCTGAGGTTCACATTGCTGTTCTTTTTTTCCCAGTGGGGATGGGGTACAGGGTCTTGCTGTTACTCAGGCTGGAGTGCAACAGCATAATCAAAGCTTACTGCAGCTTCGCACTCCTGAGCTCAGGGGACCCTCTGGTCTCACCCTTCCAAGTAGCTAAGACTACAGGTATGCAACACTATGCCTGTTTTTTTTCTTTTTTTGTAGATACAGGGTCTCTCTCTGTTGTCCAGGTTGGTCTTGAACGCCTGGCCTCAAGCATGATCACTCACCTTGGCCCTGCAAAACACTGAGATTACAGGCATGAGCCACCATGACTAGCCTAAAACAAATTATATATTTGCAAAAATATGCTCATCATAAACTCTGGATTTAGGATTACACAGTGTTAGTAGGACGCACTTTAATTTCCGTGCTATACATTTATCAACCTGCATTTGGGCTTTATTTCAAAATTTATAGATCAATAAGATAATAAAATTAACATTTATTAAACATGTAAGGCCAGTCAACAGCTACTGAGTTTCTACTGTATGCCCTGCACCAAGGTGGAAACTCTGGGAGTACCAAAGAAGAAGCCATGCTCTCACATCTTCCCATATGTTCTTAATTTTCTAGAAACTGGTGAGTTATTTGGGAGACAGAAGTACATTCAGTCTGTAAATCTTGACCCATATGGTAGACACTGATTACCACAATAAGAATTCAATCCCTGACATATACTACTTGCACAATAAATGATGAAAAGATCAATGTCTATAAAATCAATTATGATGATTACTATTGTGACATAGTCTGAGGAGTACATGACATGGGCAAAGCTAATCTGGTCCTGAAATACTGTATATTTACATCCTATAAAGTCCCTACAGACTCTATAATTGTAGCATTTATATATAATATACATGTACATATGTAATCGAATAACAGAAATATATTGAGCATAGTTTGTGAATATTTGAAAACAACAGAAATTTTCAAACTGGGTTGAATTGTGAAACACAAGCCTTTTTATTTATTTATTTTTATTTATTTAACACATACCATTTTAAGTGAAACCAGCCGACCTTCTTCCATTGCGTGGCTGAAAAAGAATTAATTACGAATAAATCAGTCTCACTTAGGATGGAAGCTAATGTTCATCAAAAGAGACTAATGATCTAGAGAAGTGTTTCTTTAACGTGCATCAGAATCACTTGGAGGGATTTTTACAACAGACTGTTGCAGCCCATAGCTGGAGTTTCTGATTTAGTAAGGCTGAGGGCCCTGAAATGTGAGTTGTTCTGAGATGCTGCTAATACTGCTGAGGGGCACAGTGAATTACATACTACTTGATTTTGCTTATTTCCTTGATGGTACCAAAATTTTGAAACAAACGTTCTCAATTTTAATTTGATATGAACCAAAATTAACATACTGAAGTGAGAGTTGTTTAGTATTACTTCTTTCTGCTATGAATCTCCTTCCTCCATTTAATCCATTCTCCAATTTGCCATTAGGATTATTTTCCAAAATGCAAATCTTACCCATGGCTCCCCTTAGCCTTTAGAGTAAAGTTGAAATTTCTTAGCTAAATATTCCATCAACCAAATTCCTGTTGCTTCTTCAGGATTCAGCCCATGAAGTCTTTTCTGTACCTGCTGGGTTTAGACAATCCTTCCGCCTCAACCTTCCAAGTAGCTGTAACTACAGGCGGGTACCACCACACCCGGCTAATTTTTTGATTTATTGTAGAGATGAGAGGTCTTGCCAAGTTGCCTAGGCTGGTCTCGAACCAGCAGGTTTAGGCCTCTCACCTTAGCCTCCCAAAGTGCTGGGATTATAGGTGTGAGCCACCACGCCCAACTGAGTTAAATGTTTTTCTTTTGGAAACCACAGTCCCTGGGTTAAAGGTGCATTTAACACAGTGTTTTATAATTTTGACTTTATTTTCTCTATAAGGCTATAAACTTCTAGAGCATAGGAATGGACTCGTAGCTGCCTTTCTATTCTCAGCCCTTGGTACATTGTCCAGCACTCAGTAGAAGTTCAATAGATAGTTGTTGAATGAATTAAAGTTTCTGGTAATATACTAAGAGTGCAAATATTTTACAAAGTATAGCTGCCCAGAAAGAAATTCACATTTTGCAAACAACATGGACATACAACAGCAGAAATGCAATCACAAAATTGTGTCTACTTGTAGCTTTTATTGTAGTTGATTCTTTTAGAAACTTGTGAAAGTTCTCAGACCTCTCCTAATTTACTGAATTACAAATTTAGTAAATGATTTCCTAGAATGTAAAAAATAATGTATCTTTAAGACACTTGTTCCTATATATGGTGCATCATGGAATTAAACTTTCAAGTAGTTGAATGTCATTTGAGGTATAAAAATCATAAGTAGTAGATCAGAGAAGAGCAGAGATGCTGTGATATTGAAGCAATAAGGCGGTGACAGAAGTGAATGTTAAACTGTAGTACTGTTTATAGATGCCAAATGTTTATAAACAAACTTCACACCTAATTAAAAGGTATGGTTAATTAAATACATTCACAATGAAAGTATTTTTCAATGTTGATACTGATAGATTTTTTAAAAATTTACAATACATATATACCCTGAATAAAAAGTATCCTCTACGTTGACTTGCAAAAGGACTTTGGAATTCTTCCTGGAAGAGAAAATGAGGACATTACAAATCAAATAACACTAAAAATAAGTGTAAATTCTTTTTGAAAGTGTAGTGAGGGTCAAAGTTACTTTCAACTATCATAACTAAACAGAGAGGAATCAAGGACTTGAGTGGAGAAATCTTTGTATTTATACTTGATAATTTTCAACAACTAGCAGTATCTAGAATATTATATTTAAAAATAATTTCTTATTAATATGAGATATTCTTCTTTCAGGATTTTTGCCAGTTGTATGTGTATCCCTCAATAAGCAGAAAGAGAAATGATAGATACTTCATAATTAACTATATTTAAAATCTCCTTTCCAGTATTTTGTTAGAATAAAATAATATCTTTAAAATACATATGTGTGTTAACACATGAACAGGAAAAAATATAAAATAGAATTGTGCCAAGGCAAAAAATATTATACAATATTTCTATAGGAATGTAGATTGAAGTTGAAGGGCAATTTTCATAAACTGTTTATTCAATGAAACTTTAGAAGAAATTTTCCTAATACAATTATATATACCAAATGTTAATTTAAAGAAAAAAACAATGTTTCATAACGGGTATATCTAGTAGTATTTCTTTTCTTAAATTTTTTTTTTTTTTAAAGTTGGAGTCTCACTCTGTCACCCAGGCCGGAGTGCAGTGGCACACTCACAGCCACCACAGCCTTGACCTGCTAGGCTCAGGTAATTTTTGTGCCTCAACTTTCCAAATAGCTGGAACTACAGTTGTGCATCATTACGCCCAGCTATATTTTTTATTTATTCTGGAGATTAAGTCTCTTCAAATTGCCCAGGCTGGTCTCAAATTTCTTGGCTTAGGCAATCCTTTCACCTCTGCTTCCCAAAGTGCTGAGATTACAGGTGTGAGCCACCATGCCCAGCCTTAAACATTTCATTTTAAACTTCATTAAAAAAAATTTAACATTTTATAATTTGCATAAAATTGGCTTATAGCACCCTATTTTCATTAACAATTATTTATATCATAAACATGTTATCATCATGGCAATTCATGAGGAAATTTATCATCCAAGATCTTTTTCAACTATTTCATAATATAATCATATTTTTAAATTCTAAGAAATGACTGATAGCTATTTAAATCCTGAAATACTTTACTTACAACAAGTATATCTTAAATTCTCAATATTTGTGTTTAATTCTCATCTTTACTATAACCCCCTAAATTACTTGAGATTGAAAAATTAGTGTTTAAAAATGTCCATATTGTGTACATGTATCAAAATATTACATATATGTATCAAAATATGTACAACTATGATACATCAATTAAAATTTTTTTTTAATTTAAAAAACTTCGTAAAATCCACACTTATAAACCATATGTTTATATGCCTATGTAAGTTCTCATGTACATTATATTAAAGAGAAAAAAGAAAAAGATAGGACAAAATGTAAATTAAAATGTACCAAATATTTTAAGTGCAAAACTCAATCATCTTTTTAGAGTCTTGTCACTTGACACAGAGCAATATATAAAAGAATTTGGGAGGTACATATAAACAAAAGATGTGGGGATGAAAGTAGAAGATGTCTAGCAAACAAAATTCTAGAAAAGTATTTGAATGCACTAAGATTCAAAAACTCATTTTCTTCAAGAATTTAAAATATTTCACTGTCAAAGTACATTTTATTTTGTTTTATTTTTTGAGTTGGAGTCTCACTCCGTCGCCCAGACTGGAGTGCAGTGGCCGCTCCCAGCCACCGCAGCCTCGACCTGCTGGGCTCCGGTGATCCTTCCGCCTCAGCCTTCCGAGTAGCTGGAACTACAGGCGTGCGCTACTATGCCTGGCTAAATTTTTGATTTATTGTGGAGATGAGGTCTCTCCAAGTTGCCCAGGTGGGTCTCGAACCCGCGGGCTCAGGCAATCCACTCACCTCGGCTTCCCAAAACACGGGATTACAGGCTGAGCCACCAAGCCTGGCCTCAAAGTACATTTTAAAATGAGGTGACATAGGCCTAACAAAGCTAACACTCTCTTTTAATTGTTTTTCTATCCATCTCTTACATTCTTTACATTCATATGTTTCTAGGAAATATTGACTTGCTGCAAAATATTTTTAGGATTTATCATTTGTCTAACAGGATATACTACTAAGTCAGAGTTCACATTTTCAGCTAGTTGTCTGGAAGTATAAATGGCATCACCAGGAATATTCTGATAAAGTACTAAACTGGCCACAACACTAAGTGTTTAGCTTTGGTTGTATAAATCACGACAGAGAAATAATGTAGTCAAACTAATAATTTTTTATGTATTTTAAGAAATTTGATCTTTAAGTTGACATTGTTTACAATTTGTAAGTCAACCAAGCACATTAGAAAGTAAAAGTTAACTCAAAATAAGCATATATTACTTCTAGAAAGTTTGAAGACAACTGATTTTCATTTTTTCATTCTGGTAATTCTAAAATTTTAAGGGGCTTCTACATTTGCTTTTTCATTTCTTTTTAAAGTTGGCAGCAGATATTGTCTTCTTTAATGGAAGCTTAGTACAAGAATGTGAATAATTTAGGGAGAAACAGTGGCCATAAAAATAAATTTTGAGAAAATTATTCATCTAACCTGTATGCATTTTAAAACATAGTTGAAGTCGTTGGGCAGCCCTTTAAGAAGAAACAATTAAATATGGTATTGAAATTAAGGAAAAATTTGACCAGAATTTACCTTTTAATAATAAAAATATAATTTAATAACAACATTAAAAAAGTAACCAAGATTACACTATAAAGGGAACAGCACTGTAAAAAATATTTTTTGCCTAGACTACAAGTCAGAAGACTCTGCTGTTATCTCGCTTACTAATATGATCTTGAGAAAAACCTTCAACTATTCTGAGTTTTCTCTTTTGTAAACTGGGGATAACAATGTTTGTATAAGTACTAACAGAGCTCCTGAGAGAATAAAATAAGTCTAAAAATTGTAATTATCACAACAATGTAAGGCATTACTTACAAATTACTTAAAAATATTATCTTTCATCATTGAATGACTTAGGATTCTTCTTAACTGACAATAAAAACTCCACAATTTTTAGGTAAGAATGTATTAATTCAGTTATATTCATCTTACACATAGGTACTAGATTTAGGTAACATTTTTGTCAATTATGGAAAAAACAAAATCTGTGTATTTAGTTTCTGATGCATTTACTCACTAAGTAAATGCCTTACTCTTAGCAACATTTGAACAGATAGCTTGCCGTCCCAGCTACTGGACAACCTGAACACAAAGGGAATAAACTGTCCTTTATTTGTCCTCCTGTTACTACCTAATTATTAGACACATTGTAGTGTCCTTTCTTAAATCAGGAATAGATTTTCTCACTTCATAGTTTGAGTTAGAAAGGACCTAATATGGGGAGAGGATGGCTGAACAATTCTCTTCTTCCTTGGTCAAAACAACTTCTCAAACAGACACACTTACACCGGCTAACTGGTGTTAGTGTGGGCTTATCCTGAGGGGGAGTGTGGTTACAAATGACCACAGCTGGGCATTGACAGAAAGAGCAAACCCCACAGAGCAGCAAGGCCAGCATGCAGTTTGTGTTACGTACGCCCACTCTGAATCTCTTCATTCTTCTCTCCTGCAGCCAAGGGACAAGCTGTAGCAAAGGATGCACAACTGACGACTGAGAGAACAGAAACACACACACGAGGTGAGCACAGGCGTGTCTCAACACTGGGCTTACACACTGCTTCTTATTTGTTTTTGCCTTTACCCACTCTACTTGTCCCAGACAGAAGAGAAAATTACAGATGTTATCTAAGACAGCCCTTTGTGAGCAATTCAAAGAAATGTGGAGGAGAAAGGGTGGAAAAATGTTTGGTAGCTGTGTGCTAGGTTTTTGCCATTATTTTGAAGAAGCACTGTCCTGAAGGCCTCCATTCTCATCAGCTGCCAGCGGTCCCTCTTGCTTCTTTGAGAGATAGCAAGCAGTCTGTCTACTTCTAGACTCAGAATAATCTGAGCCAGATGAAACCGACACTGTGAGTAGCAGTTTTCCATTAAAAACATGTTTACCTGGAAGATTATGCTATACACATATCTAGTAATCTTCCATTATAAATTATATACTTAAAACTGAAACATAGAGCAAGATGACAGGGGGTACAAAAATGACAATGTGTTGTTGATAGTGAAAAATATGACTAGCACGCATTTTCTCAAAATGTAAAAATGTCAAGCAGAAGAAAATGAAAGCACTCTGGAGACGTGCAGTGCTGTGTGTTCAAAAAGGTATGAGTTGAACAGAGCCTTTTCACTAACATTAAATTAATTTATCAAGTGGATGATGCTGAATCCTATATAATGGTCATCTGTCAACCAATTCAACTTGTGTTTGGTATAAAGCCAGTATAATTTAACTTTCAGTTCCTCATATGTAAAAAATATTCCATGTGATAAACATTTAAAATTGAGTTTAAGATTACAGTTAACTTTCCACAGGTACACACATGTTTAAAATACACGATGCTCCTCATTCCCTAAATTGGTTCATGGTAGTGAATCACAAGTTTAGAAATACTATTATATTCAAGTAAATACTAAGTATCCTAGATTGAAAAGCCAAAGTAGTTGGTTAGCATTTTTAAAATCCATGAATACAAAAGGAAAAATTACCACTAATACTACACAATTTTGAAGTGAAGTGAGTTCAAGATAATGGTTTCTGGTTAATCTTAGAGTATGTTCTCACATTAAATGCCTAATTACTAATAAGGAGATTTTAGGAATAGATGAGGATATTCCTAGTTATACTTTTTTTTTTTAGGTTTTCAGGCAAAGTTTATTTAGAAAGTAAATGAGAGAGAGAGAGAGGAAGGGAGGGAGAGAGAGAGAGAGAGAGAGAGAGAGAGAGATTCACCTCCCCAAGATAGGGGAGGGGGCTAAGGCTAAGGAAACATGGTGGCCACAGCTCAAAGAGCCATGTGGAGAAAGCAGAATTTAACAAAGCAAACCTAGTTATATTTAATTACATTTTTGACAATTATGTTTAAAAATAATTCTTAAAATGTCTTTTGTTACAACTATTTTTCCTTTGCAATAATTGCCATTTGAAACAATACATTTTAGTTATTTGCATGCTTTTCAATTTTGGGGGCCATTAGAATGTAAGTTCCTTGAGAGTAGGGTTTTCTTTTTTAAATTTTGTTTAATTTATTGCCATATTTCCAATACCTAGAATTGTGGCTGGCACATACCACATAGTATATACTTAGTTAATAACAGCTGAATGAATGAGTGAATAAATTTAATATCATGTAGTTACTGACATCTAAAATAAATTAAACATATAATACTGAATTCCATTTATTCATCACATATAAACTTTTAAAGTAAAAACATCTAAATTTTGATCTAGCTCTAGTAAATTGCAAAAACCAGTGTTTTCTTTTTTTTTTTTTTTTTTTTTTTG